ACATTTCAATACTGGTCATCACGGAAACGCAACGGTCCACGCATGAACAAGAGTCCCGCTCGCTTTCTACAACACGCGATCCGGTCGAACAAAGACGTAGAAGATTGCGGTCAGTGCCGGAGGTACGGCAGCCCAAAGCGCGGATAAGAGCCACGATCCAGCAGATGGTGTGGTTTTAGGCCAATAACAAGCGTTCGCTACAATATAGGCAAGCACTGAAATAAAGATAGAACAAAATCACAGAACGCAGAAATTAATGAGTAGTATGTTTTTACTTTGGGGTTGTGACACAGACCAATATGTGTCGTCTGTGTGGAACTGTGTTCAGTGGAGGACAGTGAGCACAAGATGGCAATTTTGTTCTTATTGGGACTCATCAGCACAGCATATTCTATCCTACAGAGGCCCCATTGTCTAGGAATACACAAAGAATGTACAAGAGACCGTCAGATCTAGCACTTATTACCTTAGAACCGTAATTCCAAGACTAAGTAAATATACAACAATTTGGCTGTCTCTCTTTGGACGTTATCCATAAATGAACTTTAAAACGAGTGTTGCTCTACGCGTGACCAGATTTCCCGCATCGTTCTTTTCGGTGCCTGAGTGTGAAATAGGCGAACTTCTCCTCCAACAAAATTCACATTTCCCTTGCAACTTAAACATCTAATCGGAATCCATAGTGCCTAAACTACAGGGACCTGTTGCTTCAGTTTCGATTAGACCTGTAATCGTTCTTCCATCCAAAACATTTGGTAAGCACGCCCATAAGTCCCGTTGAAACATTCTAATAGGGACTTATTTCAAAGAATGCGATCGTTCGGTAAGAAGTCAGTTTATTTATTAGATTGGTATATACAGGTATTGACCAATCCCCTGCAACATCCTGATTTTCATCACACTTTTTCCTCTCAATGCTTCGTTTTTCCAGGCTCATTCACTGGATTGAATATGATATTGCCTCACAACATACACCGCACGTCTGATATAATATCTAATTATATATTTGGTTATAGTATCCACATGCCATTAAAGTATACGATTCCACGATGTTGACGATGGTTGCTGGTGCATCAGTTGCCAAATAACAAACTTAGAGCATACAACGTAACGAAGAGTTATTTATTAAATTGACTTATAGATTTTGAGTAGGTATTGTACTTTCATTTCATCCATGTTCCATTTGCCTTTCTTCATTTTGGAGCACTGGGGGGGGGGGAGAGGCAGTCATTTTAGTATGGATTCTATCAAACAGAATTTGCTAGTCTGCTCTAAAACACCCTAATCACTGACGACCAATGTCAAGGTCAAAAGTTTTCCATCCGAATAAAATCCCAGCTGCTGCACGATAATTGAATGAATTTGACATTGAACTGGACCCTTCAGAAATTGTATAAATGTGAAAAAATAATATTTAATTGGGTCTAACCGTTTTTTTCACCATCAACCTCAATTGAGAGGAGATACTAACCTTCATCTGTGAAAAAAATTACTTCTGTGAATGCATTTAAAGAGTAGCAGTTATCGAAAATCGTCCTTAGCAGTGCAAAATATTTTGTGATATTTAGATTGGTGTGTGCAGAAGACCAATAACATGGTACTCAGTATTTACTTCCGTCCTAACGTGTCAGGCGGGATAACTATTTACTTTTGCTGAATTACTTGTTAGCCACCAGTTAAATAAACCCGTTACCAAATGGACGGGCGAAGCGATTTCAATTTGTTGGTAAAATCAATACATGCACTTCTTTCGTTGGGCGTTTAATAATGGCTCAATATCACGTGGCTTCAGGTGCACTTTAAATTGAGCCACCGGTTTCTAAACAAAAGCGTGAGGAAAAAACGGCAAACAGTCCTGGTCGGAATAGCTCCGACCGACTGATATCCCTGGAGGCTAGTGCAGATATCAGTGAGACGTGTGATGACCTAAACAAGTTTATACAAATGGAACTCGCCATATCATGTAAACTTAGAGATGAAAAATAATCTGTTCAGCTGCATAAAATGAAGTTCACTAAATAATCCAGTTAAATCTTCCATTATTCTCATCTTATGGATTATTCCCAAAAAATATTTTTGCTTTGAATGATGACCCGTGTTCACTAAATAACCGAAAATGGCCCTTCCTTGTTTCTCAGGGGCCTCGTTGGTTTAACCACTATGTACTGTGTTCCCTCATCCATGGGGGTGCTGGCCACGCCGTGCGACTATTGTACAATGTGCTGCAAACGCATCTGAATAAGAGAAATACCACAGAAGTGATCAGCTTGGGCGCCCCTGTCTTCTTGACTGGTTTGGATTAGGTGTTAGCGATTGAACACACACGACAGTTGAGCCGCCTTAAAGATGCGCGGCACTGCAAGCGTTGAGTATTTGCTTGATAGTTCATTTCTTGCATATATTTTAAAAATGTAGATGAATTGTTGGTTACTTCTCATACGTCTCGTGGACCGGTTCAGACGATGGCCTCTCCAGAAAGGTTCTCTGGTAGAACCATCAAGATATTAGTTTTTCCAAGGAACATACTTTACTTTCCTCAGTTCCTCATCTAACACCCAGTCGAGGAAGAGGTCTAAAGATGTCATATTCTGAATAACAAACGTTTTGTTCTTGCGGATTGGACGGCCTCACCGACAGTTTGTTTTGGCGTTTTTCACACCATAGCAACTCCTCCTGTTTTTGGAGAAGCTACAAATTCGCAAGGCCAAAGTATTGTTGATGGCTTCTGCCGCAGCGGTGAACCTTTACAGATTCATCAATCTCATCAAATATTTGGAGCACTCTTGTCCAGTTATTGTCTATGATGGTAGGACAGAATATGTGTTCCAATCATCGGCAGGACAAACTGATTGGCTCAATGGACTTGACCACGGCTGTCCGGCCTATTTGATTGAACAATTTTCCCGGGAATAGAAATTGCACCTTGGTTGTGCATCTCATCGCATGCATTTATCACCCAGGATTTATCAAACAGGATTTCAAAGTCTTACGTTGTGGTCTAACCAGTATTAGTCGTGTCTCTTCTATTCCTGGGAACGAATTAACTGTAAAGCTTTCAGAGTATTACATATCTTCCTGTGTGAAATTTTCTGTGAGGATTCTCACAGATCCTGACCACCCATTGCACGCAGAACTGGCAACTTGTCGTTCCCATCATTCAACACGCTCCCAATTCCGCCCAATTTCATCTCGAATTAATGCATACCGAAATTCACCTAAACCGTATGTTGGTTGTTTACTCACAAACAAAGAGCGGACAAAAAGTGAACTTTATCTTAACCTTGGATTATAAAATATCCTTATGTGTGGGTAAAATATTTTCTCACAGTTTGTTAAGTACATTGTGACGGTTAGTATGTATGATTTTTGTAACTGACTTCGGGAACTAACGAAATTTTACTTCCTCGCGCATAAAGCGACTTGAGAAATTGAACTTATCATTCAAAATTTGGTCCGAGTTCCTCCCTGCCCCATCGCACTGGTGCACAAGTGCATCTGCGTCCGGATATGACAATACCACGGGGTGACTGGTTTCTACCGCCTCGTGCACAAAACAACTCCATGAAAGGAACTTATTTTCAACAGTTCTCACGCTTTTCATGCCACTCTCACATGTTTTATCTGTCTTCATCTCTTTATTTTAACTTATTGCAAGAAATCGTGCTCATGTGAATTTGTCTCTCTATCACATCAGTCCACGCAGATTTTCCTTTGCGAATTATCTACCTATTGGTGCCACAATGGAAACATCTTCACATTTTCCTCCCCCATGATTAGTTAACTGAAAAATTCCCGTTTCAAAGTAATTGATTTCTAACAATCTGATTTCGGTCAGCAATTTCTTTCAATTTCGTTCGGTTTTGCTAATATGTGATGATGAAAATAACAATCAAACTCCAAAAAAATCGAATAGGAGACCGTGTGATGACTTACGACCAAGTGGAATAACCACGGCACAGGCAACCACCATTGGATATGAATAGTAAATTTCACGACAGGCCAAAATGAAAGCCAAAATAGCGCCCGCGATCAGCAGAAGGATGCCCACAATATCGGTGGCCACATAGCATCGGAACTGATCGGTATTGCTCGCGTCTTCCATGCGAGAGGGACCGGGGTGGAGGGAGCGAGGCGGAGAAAAACGAGATGGTTGGAAGGAAACAGATTTATGCAACAAACTGAACGAAATTCAGATCATTTAAGATGATTAAATTATTAGACTTGGTCAGATAAACAAAGTCTGTGTTAATTTGTGTGTACCGTTCAACCATATCCAGTGGGTAAAACATAATGGGATAGGTTGGTAGAAATGGGGTCTGCTGGGAGAGACCACTGAGCCACAAATAAAGTAAACTAATCGTGAAATTGGAGTATTGGCGATTAGATCACTATACCACGTTATTGTTTCAATTAGATGCTCAAAGGTAATCACACTAATAGCAAAGATAATCATGGTTGTTTTGATTTGGGCTGATTAGCCTTATTAGTCGCCAAATTCAATTACGATCGCTACTGGATACAATCAACCATACTCTTCAGATCGTTCCCTCACCACTACTCATAGACAACTATAAGGTAAATGTGAGTAGTAACTGGGATAGTATTAGATTTCATTATTAATAATATACATAGTAATATTGCCACTTGCAATAATGGTGTCGTTACAAATACTCATCCGAATGGAGTATTTTTGCTTCCTCAGGACAAAGTTCCTGCAGGTTACTAGCCTTCTCAAATCAGGTGATACAGGTCCTTTGTGCTCCACTGACTCACGTCAAAAAATGGGGAAAATTGCCCAAGCACTAACTGGATTTCCTCTGCAATCAGTCCCCCAAACAACGCAGGTGTCATTCCATGTGGAGTACAACAGAAGTAACTCAGTTCTTAACCAGTCGCATTTATCGGTTGACCGTTATTCTGCGTCTAGTTTTATTTAATGCTTTGGCAAAAACAACGAAAGAGCACATCCCACTGCCAGAGGTAAATCATACGAACTTTATTCGCCCCTTTGGAAATATCACTCCCC